ATTTCTTCCCAGTTGTTTTTTGAGCCCTGCTTTCTAGAACACCAAACTGAAAATGGGAACCCCACGGGACCTCTTCTAATCAGAGCTCATACGAAGGAGTCAAGTGAGTTGACATCTGGAAAGTAGGATGGCCAATCCTTTTTGCTTATAAAGTCGAGCGGCTAGCGTCGGCACCACTCCTGGGCGAGCTTGACACTGTGGGCTGAGGTACCTGCTTGAAGGACCACAAGCTGTTTCGAAAAGGTTTCGGACCAGTGCTTCATTAGGTCCATCAGTATCCTCTTTCAGTACAAGTCTTCGTCCTTTTTCCTGCTGGCACTGGCGAAACTCACGGGCGTCTTCTTTGCCAGAGAATGAAAAAAACATAGTTTCATTGCTCTTATAGTCGCTTTTTTGTGAAGGAACACGCGTCTGGTGTTTATAGTCAGAACACGATCGCTTTTTGTTGAAGAGATTGTTTTTTGTAAGAATTTTCGACTACAGGAAACGATGAAGAGTTGTGTGTATCCACAGAGATAGCAACTTTCCGCATTTTTTCACTATTAATTGCCTGTCGAACTTGGAATCTTGGAAAAGATTGGCGTTTCTGTGAAGGTTCTAATCACAATAAAGCTTGTACCTTACAATCCGTCCCACCGACAACCTCGATAAGTCCCGCTCCACTGCCGTGTTTTTGATGAGTTGCCCAGAATCACAACCGACTCACAAACGATTCATTTTAATAGTCCTATCTTCAAAGATGCTGGCTTTTCCGGCCTGTATTAGCTTGAATTTTCTTATTGTATCGTTGAAGAGCCTACTGTACGAACACTATAGGAATCGCAAAGATTTTCATAAAGCCCTACTGCCTCTTGCATGCCAGTGATTGCAAGTGGCATCGAATGAACCTTGGCTATCTGAAAGATATTGGGAGTTTCACTTCAGTAGCTATGCATAATGCAAGGAAACCTTCTAGTGCGACTGAGTAATACCTGTTATAGTGAATTTGATGAATTACTTCTATCGTAGAAGTTTTGAATATTGGCGTCCACAATTTTGGGACCCTGTGGAATGTTCCTACTTAATGTATAGGAATGCTTCGTGTGTTCTATAACAACTTAGCATGAAACAACATCTCATCCTAACTTCTCAGTAGGCTAGATACCACAAATGTGCTTGATGCTTTTGTCTTCCAGTCGTCTTGGTAATGAACTCAATTCGTCATCCTTTACTTTTTCACTACATTCCTCACCATCAATCCCATAGCTGATTCTGCACTTTCCCATTATATTACCATACAGTAGGAAGTTTTCTGAGTGATTCATAGATCTAAAAGTTCTTTAGAAAATTAATCAAGGTTATTCATAGAAAATTTAAAATTACTGAGAACTTGTTGCAATATTTTCCATTTTGTGAGGAAATCGCGTTTGATACTGTAACTACGAGACAGTTTTAGAACAACTGATTTCGGAAATACTTTTTGAAAACCTCATAGGAAACAGAGTCATCACGCGAAGAGAACTATTCGCTCTACGTTCTTCGAAATCCTCGATGTGTTCTAGCATTCAGAGTCATCTTCTCGCAAACTGTTGTTGATGAGAGTATCAAATGCTATCTTGCAGCAAAATGGAACAATTTGCAATCAGATATCATAGCTTCGTAAATTAAAAACTATGAGTATGAAACCATGAGTTGCACAAGCTGAATTCGTTGTGGGACCAGCAATGCATAAGTCTTCTACAGTGCATTTTACAAGTGTAAGATCATCCTTGAACTTGGTATTTACAGGATAAGCAGCCAATCATATATCTTTCTGGCACCGCTATTAGATTCATCACCTTCGATGACCCCTATATACATGCTTTTGTTTGCTCCACTTTAATATGCTCATTTATATCGATTATTCCGCCGTTTCATAAGTATAGGATCACCCCGACTGCACGAAGATTTCAAAGCCTGCTACAGCAGAACTTGCTCTTGGAGGGATCTGTATAGGAGAGAGTGTGCCACAATTCTTTGAAAAAGCAAAATCGAAACTTTCGTGATACATGGTTCAGTACGAGGGCAATTAGGATTAGAATCGTGCGATCCCTCAGCTCCGTCCAGAGATATTTGAAGACTACAGAGCCCACACGAGGACAGGATGCCCGCGAAAGACAAGAAGAGAATGCCGAGACTATTCTTGTCGTTGAACCAAGTTCGACCGGATTTAGGTGTCCCGGTGTCCAAAATTACTGAGCGGAGAGGCGTGAGAAAGAGCAGCAGCATTGTCAGTCTAGCGATGAAGAGGGCTCCTAGGCTTACCGACTACCACAGGAAGGCAGGACTTGAATTTGTGAAGTTGAATCTGGGGTGAAATTGGACGAAAGCCAGCCTGTGTTACCGATTAGCCATACAAACTAGTAATCCGTTCAGGTCGTATTTTTCAATGAAAAGAAAGTTAATTAGGAAGACCCCGATGGTTACAACTACTACTGACGTGGCCTACAAAAAGAGCCGATCAACTCTAGCCGTCGCAATTTTGAAGGAGGAAAAGTCAAGGACTATCGGGAAGTCTCACAATGGCACCTGGTGCCATTTCTGAGCCAGCGACGTAGTACTAACTACGTTTTTCAACATGGCATTGCTGTGATCCACGCTAGTCATTCCACGAAAGACTGGTTCCTTTCTCAAAATTTCGAAGTTCTGACTTGGCCAGTTCCACAGCCCCGATCTGAACCCGATGGAGAACCTGTAAGGCATCATTGTCAACCATCAGTTCCAGACGACAGAAGAGCTCAAGCAGGCAGTACTTGAATCTTTTAATGAAATCTCCGGCGATGTCTTCCGAAACCTTGTTACGACTATGCCATGTAGGCTGTTCGATATTGGGCTATAACAAGTAAGACCCATCGACTACTAAATGTTTTTCTGCCGTTTCTAATGATAAGTTTTTTTCAAACTCTCAAAGTGATCTTATACTTTTGGAATGGCGCAAAATTCAAAAATTATTTATAAAAATTTTATGCTAGAAGTCGATTGAAAATGTCCGTGTTTGGGGGTTATTCACTTTGCTGAATCTGATAGTAGTGCTTGAAACTTAACTGATTGGCTGCTTATCCTGTAAACACCAAATTTGGGGGTGATCTTATATTATACTTAAGAAATGCACTGTAGTAGCGGGAAACTTCTTCGCACGGGTAACGGATGACCATTTTCGTCTCAGTGTGAGAGAATCCTTCCAATTGACGAAGGTGGGACAAAACGGCATCTTGCGACACTTTCATGAGTCTCGTAACCATGTCAATGTTATTGCAGATGGTAAAAAGTCTCCTAAGTTTATCTGTTCGAATGGCTGAACTTCATCCATTATGTTGCGAATCCTGTCGAGTACGACTCAAATAGAGAGCCGAAGGATTGCAGAAAGCGCCAAGACAACATTGCGAATGCCAGCACCTCCACTCCTCTTATACTCTTAAACAACGCAACTGGTGGTGAGTTTCCATCGGTTGAAAGACTGTGACGACAACTGTGGCTCACAAGTTGTTATAGTTCCAACCGACCATGCTCAGCTATTTAACGACCACTCGAAATAGGGTTGCTGACAGAGTGTTTCGAAAAAAGAAAACTCTTGACTCACACTTTTCTGGTCGGTGAAGGGAGAGATACCGCTGTCAATGCGTCTGATTGAAGGGCGTAATTGAATTTTTCGACTGCTCTTAATGTTAGAATGCAATCGGATGACATAGGCATGCTCAACTACCAAAAATACCAATAATGACTTTGTCACATGTAAAAATGGAACTAAACAGCGAAAATCTGGATTGCGCTACGTACTCGATTTCCACCAATTTTGTGAAGGTTACAGAATTATTACATTCTGGATTCAAAAAGCAACTGTCTAGAATTTACGTTCAGGTCTACTTCTACTAGATACTGATAAATGATACTCAGAACTATAGAAACAGCGAAAATTCGAACCGCGTCATGTGCTCGACTTCTGACAATTTTTGGAAGGTAACAGAATTATTCCATCTAAGAATTTAACGCCCAACTTACAATAATGTGTTTATCTTATACTTATTTCAAAATGACTGAAGAACGACGCTCGAAACTATCGAAACAGCAAAGGTACGGATTGCGCTATAGACTCGATTTTGGGAAATTTGCAGAAGTATTACATCAGTGGATTCAAAGCCCGAATCTCTATAAATCATTTTCGAAAGTTCACTTCAGCAAATACTGAAAAAGCCACGCTCAGAACTATCGAAAAAGAGAAAACGAAGACGCCACGGCCTCAATTTCCGTCATTTTTGAGAAGGTTACAGAAATATTATTCACTGACCCTAATGAGACAAACTAACCTGGGTAAAGTAGGGGGTGGCGGTGTTGGTCATCGAAAGCAGAACAGTCCATGTATACTACCTATGATCAAGGAAATCAGTGTATCTTATCTTTTGGTTGCAATGCGTGAGCCACCTGTGGGATCGAATCCCAGCACTACTTCTTGAAAACAGCTGTGCGAATTTTCGCCATAATAAGGCTAGAATTTTTTAGAAGCTCAAGGTCACAGAACTATTACATCAAAACCTTCAAAACCGGATAATAATAATAATAATAATAATAATAATAATAATAATAATAATAATACTGCATTCATTTCTCTTCGTATCGTAATTTAAATTCAGGTTGTGGCTAGCATAGACTGCAAGCAAAAAAGAGAACAGTAACAAAGAACAGAATAGGGGTGCAGGATCGCCGCACGCTAGCCCAGACAGGTAGCGCAGAGCATCCAATCGAAGCTAGTGTCACATAGAACGAAGGCACAGAAACATGTACGAGTTCTTGCATTCTGGTGTGTTTATCATCAAATATTTGGATGTATGATGTTTATTTGTAGCATCACAGTTCCCATTTTGTTGATAATCCGTTCCTGATATGAAGCGATAGGAAGTTGTATCGATACTTAAAAGCTGGCATGGAGGGTATGGTTCACTTGTAGACTCATCTCGTCCGGCGGCTGTACTCAAATACTAACAATAATGGTTAGTTGCTGCTACCCGATCCCCGGCAATGTATTCACTAAACAATGCTCAGGTGCATCTCACGACAATGGTCCTCCCAACTGGAACGGATTCACCGCAGTCCAAGCAGATTGTCATTCGAAACACAACGAAGCAGGATATTGTGCTTAAGGTCTGTAAAGTTCGAAAATCATGAAATATGCCCAAATTTGATGTCATTCAGATAAAATCTGATGCACCCCGGGCGCTGCAGTTTGAGGCCGAGAAAATTGTAGTCGATTCGAGGAAATACGTTATTGTCAACATGATCTTCCACGAGAAAGAGCTCTCCGCATATCCTAAGGTTAGAGGGACCTCCTTTTTAAAACATCTTTCATACACGGCGGACAAAGATGCTAAACGTGATTCAAGCCTTCAAACGAATGATGATGTCGGACACTCTTGGTAATGAGGGGGCATTGGCTGAACAGATGCCGGGTATGGTCGCCAACCTACTGCGGTTATCACCGGTATCTAGTTTTCGACCGGCAAAGACCAACGAGTTACTAACCATGCCATCCTGCGTGGCTGTAATCATCCTCCACTCCCCAACTCATTTTGAAGAAGTAGTAATCACTACGCGGTCTAAAGAAGCGAGATGTTAGCGTACCAGATGAAGCGCTATGTGATGAGGGGTTCGAGTATGATCGAAGTTGATAGCAACTCGGATAACAACTGATAATTCTGTTCTGATAGATGTTGGTTGAAGTTGGCAGAGTTGGCTTAACACTTTCGAGAGGGTGCCGGGACCTCTCCCCAGCGCAGCGGCTACGCTATCTTTCCAGCGGAAATTCAAACCTTTCCCCTCATTGAGCGCGATTGGGTGCGGCGAGTGCGACGTCGTTTTCGGGTAGAAGATACCGCACCCCTTCCGAGTTGCGCTCATCTACTGGACTCCTATTCAAAGTCTTGCAGTGACTGAATGCGTAGTAGATCCATACAATGACATGCGGGTTCGGCGCCATTATATAAACCAATGTTTTTATCACCCAATACGAATGTACAACCAATTTGTCAACGTTAGACTACTACGAGGTTTAGCAAAGCTGATTGGTGAATATTTTAAATTTGGCATATGAATCCAGCGGTTATTAAATGCACCACAAACAGCCAACGAGACTGCCCAAAGCCCCCTTATGTTCATGACTGAGACTATGCTATAGCTTGTTATCATTATCACCAACAACGCAACAACCCACCTTTTGAGCTTCCTACTAACTTTTACTATCTCAGTTTGCGGTGGGTTTCTGATATCACTACCTTTAACATAGCAGTGGGACGTTATGTGAACCCACAGGAACACCAACAAACCTAGAGACCGACAAGCAGAGGTACATATCGGTTCATTACCTTATAAAATAGAAAGTACTGAGGGCAAGATGACGGGGACGGTGCAAATCAGCCCGAGGGCTTGGTGTTCGAAAGAACCAGGCTGAATCTCGAGAGCAGACGTAAAATGTCGTAGAATGCGCGGTGAAAGGGAGAAGTGCATGCGGAATTACGGTCTTACTTTAGGGGGGGGGGGGGGGGGGGGGGGGGGGGNCGCGCAATTTGCCGCGCCCACCCAGAATCGCACGAATCGCACCACACCCTTATTTTAGGTGTGCACTATTTTTTGAGGATTTAGTAACCTCTCCCCGAAAATCGCATCGAGCTTGACGCATGCCGATGCCGCCTATCATGTCCAAACCTTCCCCTTCATTTCATAGCGCGCGACAGCGCGGCATCGGAAGCGGCGAGCGCGATGCCGCGCTATGAAGGGGAAGGTTTGGATATGGTAGGTGAACCACTGCCTCTTACCGTGTGATTTCGAGGGAAGCACTGCCAATTTGTGCGTGTGAGATGGTAAAACTACTTCTGAGGTTAGGGCTAAGCTGATAAAGCAAACAAAGCGAACCCGGAAAGTACTGCTAAACAACAATCATGGACCTGGGCAACATGAAGCGAGTCACCGTGTGAAAGGAACCAAAACTTTGTTTTGAAGATATTTAAATTCATCATCCATCAAGCTGAAGGAACTGAGACTTCATGCAAGAGTCAATCAGATCGGACATCTACATAGAGAAGTTCAGGGCGCGTCGTCAATGATTTATGTATATGCGAGGCCAGTGACGAAATACAATCAAGAGTGTCTACGACGATGGCTGACTATTGACAACTGTGAGAGTAGTTCTCAGCTAGCATTCGCAATTCAACTGCAGATCACTAGCTCGGAATTTTCAGCTAGTAAGGTGAGGCACAGTGACAAACTCAATTTACATTTAACATGCAAGAATACAAACAACAACAGGGTAACAAACTAATGGTCGTCAATGCAATGTTAATGCAACAATGACCTTCGATGCACATCCCAACTAACAAGTGCCTCTCTCATGAAAGTCACGAGCCAGCTAGGAACGAAAGGATTGGATGCCAAGGTTGCTAGGGGTAGTTGAAATGGGATCTGATTGGTATCGAAGCAGTATCATGGTTGCTTGAACTCTTCTAAGTCAATCATCAGGCCGTTCTTAGGAGCACAGGTCATATGGGGAACTTGCACTGCATGACGTTTCAGCGGGAATAGGAGCAGAGCGGCAAGCACTGCTGTCTTATTGAGACTTTTTCTGTGAACTTTGAAAACAGTCAAAACTTTCCCAAACCGAATTTTGTGATATCCTTACGCCCCTGATTGTATGTATCTTCACGACTGTTAGAGTTCATATGGCATTTAAGCTGATTCTGGACTTGCCTGGCCATGCTTCGCTTATCGACCCAATCCCTAACGCCATCGCTGCCAATGTCGACAGTGACTGTGTGACCGGAATAAACATCGATGCAGGTAAGTAATATTGAAAGTTGAAGGGCTGAGCCGATTTTTTGAAGTAAAATCAAACAAATCACTGGATAAAATAATTGAAGACACCAACACCGCCAACGTCCTCGAAGACAAGGACTTCAGATATGCTCTGCGCATTCAGGAAGAGAGCAACTCAAGGCACGTTTTTTAGTCCTTACCGTGCGACCGGTCTTTCAACGATGTCAAGGCTTAGTGTTGGGGCCACAGATATCGGGAAAAGGACTATCACTGTGAACGTACTAAAAGAGCAGCTTGCGAACAACCGGGCTGTACCTTTTAAGGGGCTTATCAAGCGATTTCATGAGATAAAGGGTATAGGCAGAAATGAAAAATGGTAAAAGTAAATAAACAAAAAGGCTGGTTTGCTGCTATGTAATCAAGTGAAGGTGTGACCAGGGAATCTTGAGCAGATCATCGTAGAATCAGAACTCGAACTTCACAAGAAAATAAACGGAGTTTGGTTCATGTTTGGTATCATCCTGGTTTTCTCTTACGTTCAGTGCCCACTAGGCACCTTCCCAGTCACTCTGGACCTCGGGTTCATGCTCTGCCTCTGTGGCCTTCAATTAGTGCACACACTCACAGTTGGTTTTTGTGAGGCTTCAGTGCTTCACAAATTATGGTTACTCTGAGACCCAGCTAACTTGAGTATGTCTGAAGCGGTTTTTTTAGGTGTGCAATACTGGCTCCGATCATGGACAGGCTGTTTCCGCCAGTGTCACAGCCAACACATGCGTAACCTTCTGGGAATTATGCATGAATAAATATTAATCATTTGTGCATTTTTCTTCATCTGCATTGTTTGTCAAGTAGTCCTCAGCTCTCAGTTTTTACCTGGAACAGCTTATCGACTGAAGGCAGCCACTGGCTCTCTTACTCCTGATCACGAAAGTCGACGAGTCCAAAGCGGGGGGGAGGGAGTCCACTCCGCTGGCTGAGTTAGATGTGGAAGCCAACCATCGGAGTCGAGATACGTACAGCTTCAAGGCCCAAGAGTCTAGACCATCCCTATAGAAACTCGAAAGTCAAGCTGACAGTCGGAACTTCTTTGAGCTTATCCTTTAGCTTAAGGGAGAAGATGATTTTTAACACCGTATGGGAATTTGCATGAATATTTTCAGCCGTAAGGATCATACGCCATTATTGTACAGTAGAAAAGATTTTCTGGTCACAGATGGAAAATTTCAAAACTTGACTTTTTTCCTCTCCCGGCTTTTGTCCCACATGGGAGCGGGGTCCTCTTTTCACCGCGTCCTTCGCATCAATCTTGAAAGCTTAAGACATTGGCGTTTTGGTCGCATCAAATCAGATCGGAAATGGTTGGTGACAGGAAATAAATACAGCTGACAGCAGGGGTTGTAGAGCGCCTTCGGGTCAACAGCAGAAACATTGGCTGGTAAAACATAGCACCTCTAGTTTTCCGAGGTGTGTAGGGATCTCAGACGCTTCTAGATGGCATCTGACAACAACATGAGTGGTAATGGGCCACAGAAGGGAAGGCACTGTGACGATTAAACCTTGATACTGATAGGGATCAATAACAATTGGTAAGATCTGATAACAAGCCATAAAAGGCGAGAGCCACTAGGTCTGTAACTTCCTTCGTGCTAAAAGTAGAGCCTTGACACTTCGGTAGATGGTGTGGGGATTGTTGACAAGGACTAATAACGAGAGAAAAGTGCTGACAAAGCTATAAAGTGCTGGAGCTACTAGATCTGCAACGCCATTCGGGTGAACAATGGAGCATAACACTTTAGAGGGTGATATGAATGTGGACGGTCCGTAGATGATTGGTGACAGGGGGACTGGGGGACTGTGAACAACTGATAGGGGCTGATAGCAAGACAAAGAAGGCAAGGCCCACTAGGTCGGTAACGCCCTTCGAGTTCATGGTGAAATTTAGGTTTTCAATGGGCGATATTAGGATGTAACGGGATAGTAGGTGCTCGGTGACAGGAACTGATAACCACTGATAACAACCGATAAGAGCTGATAAGGGGCCTCAGAGAGCAAGAGCTGACACCCGATCAAAGTGCTGCGATAGAGACTGATTAAGGGCACTTCATACTGAGCAGAAGGAAACCCTTTTTCTTCCTCGCTATCAGATTAGGACCGTTTGCGACTTGATAAAACTCGGTTCACGTCAAGTTCGACATCACGGCTACCCTTTGCTTCGATATAATTTGTTTGGTGGATTACCAATGGGAAGTTGTAGTAAGGACGTGTAACAAAGGTTTATTAACACGCCTAGTACAAAGATCGACTATAATAATACTTCACGGGGTTTATG